TTGTATGCATCATCATTTCCAGAGTAGGACCGTGGACGTGGTACATTCCCAGAGGTTTCGCCGGCATCGTAGTCGGCATCATCAGTGTGTATCACCATTCTTAGCCATACTCACTGACGATGCCGACTACGATGCCGGCAAAACGTTTGAGAATGTACCACGTCCACGGTTCAACTTTGGAAATGATCATGCATACAATGGACTCCGGACTAGGTGCGTTCCTCTAATTCTTCCTAGCAATATGACCATGTTGCGAAAACAAGTTCGAGCAACCCCTTCAAGTGACTTTATAAGACGACAACAAAGGTGGTAGGTCGTCATCACTTTAGTCTCCGAGACCCAACTTGTTTTCATATCTAATTCTGATTATGCCCCACTTACTGATTTTGACGTTGCAAATTCCTGTCACCATTTGCCTTTGCGGCTCCGTCTAGTACCAGTCTGGAGGATGCTTTCAAGAAAAGTTGGGTTTTGAGGTATCTCTTGTTTCATAATTGTTGAGCTTACCTCCATTTTGAGTGAAAGTGTTTGGTGAAGAGATTCAAAGGTCAATTCCACCAGAAGACGACGGCAGATTCTTTTGACCAGCTGTCGATTGGCTTTACTATAAGATTCATGCTGACGCTGTTTCCAAGGCAATCTCCTTCGATTCCGGTGAAAAGGTGCTAGGCTTTCGTGCGTCATATGACGGACATCATCAGAGCGAGGTAGCATCGTCACAACAAAATTCAAGCTGAGTCAAAAAAACTCACCGGCAAATCCCTAAAACGTGGTATATATACTCTACATCTGTCCTCAATGAGCAAGTATAAAGAAATGTGGTTAGTTACGGTCATATGTCAACTCCGATGCATGTGAGTGTGTCTGTATCTGTATGCGTATGTGTCTGTTAGTGTTCGTTTATGCACGAAACCCGCACTGATGGCTCAAAGTAATTAGGACAGCAAAAAGGAACGTCTGTTTTGGGCCATCAAGGTTTGATGACCCCTTTCGCCCCCTTTCTACATACAAGTTATAACCATCACTCCAATTGCGCAAGATAGGACACTCGTCTGGTTTTGTTGACTAGCCTTTTTTTGTTAGCTTGAATTTTGTTGTGAAGATGATACCTTGCTCTGATGATGTTCGTCATATAATGGACGAAAGCTTAGAACCTTTTCACCGGAATCGAAGGAGGTTACATCGGAAACAGTGTCAGCATGAATCCTCCAGTAAAGCCAATCGACAGCTGGTCAAGAGGAATCCGTTGTCGTCGTCTGGTGGAGCCGAACTTCGAATCTCTTCACGCAACGCATTCAATCGAAATGGAAGTAAGCTCAACAAGGATGCTTTCAAAATTGCGACTCTGGCCCAACGATGATCTTATAGGCATCTTATACTTTGACATCCGCTATGCTGCAGTACCGAACTCGGCAGACCCTGCTTAATTGTGGCCCCTAAAGCCACTGGAGGCATGTGGTTTAGTCAATTAGACAGGTTGCAAAGGTGACGAAATCCAGGCAACCCGAGACACCTCGTTGACGAAGCACGGTCAGTCTGGCGGAATAGCGAGTCGTGAGATAATGAGACTGAGGCAAAGAATGGGACTGGAGGGATGGCGAGTCCCAACAGGTGGCTGGTTGCTGTACCAAATGTCGGGTTAACAGGAAAGTTGCCATCTGAGGCTGGTGAGCTGACCACAGAGAGAAACGAGGCGACTGGCTTAAACTTGGGGTCAGGATTA